ACTATCAATTGAACCTACTGTCAAAGATCATTGCAATTCAAAAGGTATCCATCTATTCCAGGTTATCTTTYTGAATACTAGATAATATAATCCCTTTACTCTAGAAAATAACCTCAATGCAAGGCTATCAATTCAAGAATCCATTATATAGTGAGATGTGGTTTCTGTCATGGTTTTCGATGTTTCTTCTACRGTTMTTGAGTTGTTGCAAAGCAAGTTGTTTGACTACCCAATTGAGAAATTTCAATGTTGGGCTTCCATGAACTGGCCTGAGAAAAAGATTTGTTTGATTTCAATATATGGTTGAAGGGGTATATGAAAAAGTTAAAGCACAACAGAAACAGTCTGCCATTGAAGTTCTTTTCCGAGCTTTAATTTTGGTTTTAGGGTTTTGTTTTGATTGTAGTTTTTAGAAAGGTTGTTGGGTATTAAACAAGGAAATCAAAGATGCAGAAGAAATTAGACAAGAAAATCAAAGATGCAGGAGAAATCAAACAAACCCAGACAAGTATAGCAGAAGCAGAAATCAAAGAAGCAATAGAAAGAAGGAGATCGATACCTGAGATCTGGGAGAAATTTTAGAAGTTCGAGAGATCGAGAACCGAAGGCGAAGAATGCTGGTAAGAACTTGAGAGCTTGAAATCGAGAGATCGAGAACTTGAGAGCTTGAAATTGAGCCGAACGCGAAGAACGTAAGAATTAAGAGGCGTTAAGAGTTTTGTCTACCACTTATAATTTCAGACCAGATTCAGAGCTTCTAGCCTCTTATTTGAAAAAAAACAAACACTCTTAATACCCAAAGGTCTGACCGATTCAGACTTCAGAGGGTATTAAGAGGTTTTTTTTTAAAACAAACAGCCCCTAAAGCAATAATATCTATGTTATTAGGTGTATCCGCGGATTGTGATACTATCGCATTGTGAACCAGAAATATAGCAATGTAAACACCAACTAAATGTACATATATTGTAAATGTTGTTATCACATATTGTGCACACACCATACCCATTTAATGTGCACATTATATAAAGATTATTTATTTTTTCAGTGGAGAATGTAGAGATAGGAAAGAGAAGAGATAATATAGCAGAGAGGAGATAAAATTACAATAAATCTACAATTTCCATTATTTAAATTATTTACTTTAAGTTATTAAAACTACAATGTTTCTATATTTATCCTTAATTAAATGTATGTGGACTAGAATGGATCTTATGGATCTCACGAATTAGAAGGATCTCAAATAAAGCTTTCCCATATATATATATATATATA